CTATAAAGACATAATTAGATTGAATTAATTATAATAAAAAATTCACGTAATTTTTATTGATATTAAGAATGTATTCATTTATGGGGGCCGCGTTGGTCGAGTGATTAGCGCGTTATACCCTCGACCATAGACGCCGTGGAAGCGGGTTCGATTCCCACGACGACCATGAAATTTTCTTTCGCCCTCCTCTTCCCCCAAAACAATTACATGAGCCACCATTGAACGTACTCTGAATAATATGTGATTCATGATTTATACAGTTGATTCTGTAAATTACATTTACATCGAATTTATTTGTTACAGGTGTGGGAGCTTTAATTTTAGAAGAAAGGGTGTGAATAGTTTTATAGTTTTTGAAGGCTATTTTAAAGCTATCAGAAGAGAGAAATGTGTTTAATTTGTGTGATAAGCCGTGAACGAATAGAATGAATGTGTATGTTTGTTTGCCTGTGTTTGATAGGATTGATGTAGTGTTATTAGCGATAGTGGATAGTGTTAATGTTGAGTTGTATTGTTGATTATGTGTTTAGGGTAGTGATTGTTATGTAGAATATCTTTGTGCTTTTGTGGTGAAAAGATTCGTGGCTCAGGGTAATAATTCTGTTTAGTAGCCCTTTGGCCGTGTTTTTTATCGAATAAAGGGGATACTGTGATGTAAAGTTGAGATAGCAATCTATGTCTCTTGGTTTTTGATACCAATTTGTGATACTACACATTTTCTATCATATCCACTTAAGTGAGATTCTATTGATACTGAAGAATAGAAAGTTTTAAAACTGGTTGTTTATCCAATGAGCATTAATGTCGTGTTTTTTCTCCTGGAGGTTACAAGCTCGCTTTATAACATTCATTATAGTTTTATTGATGCCATAATTTTTCAATTATAATTTTTTATAGTTAGTTTATTATTTTTTAGTATTATTTTCCGAAAGTAATTGTTAGTAATAAGTCGTTTCTCATTTATTATTGTAATAGAGTATATCAACAGAGATAAACACAGCATCAATTACAGAACAGATACATGTAAACTCAGTCGCAGCTACGCCAATATCATTAATCAAATTCAATACAGATAACATACCTATATCATCACATTACATTCCACACATCAAATATTTTTCACATAGTCTAATTTTCCAACAATTTAGCTTTCCTTATCATATTTATCCCCTTTCTATATAATCCTGAAAGGATAATCTGGCCGAACTATTACCTACACATTGTTCCCCTTTGTCGGCTTTTTTCACTTCAAAGAAGCCGACGCCTTACACAAAATTGTATTTTATATACCGACTTCCTTCCCCACCCCTTCAAAACCAAACATATAAACATAAAACAGCAAAATCTCACTGGCACTCTCAACACGACACGCAAGGATGGCACAATTACACAGAAGACAAACACTTTGAGTGAGTAGAAATACTTTGTCTAAATATAAAATATATTTTGCATTGTATAAATTCACTTTTCCATATCCTAAATGTATTTGTTAAATGTAAACATTGTTTGTAAATCCCAGGCCCTGAAGATGATCTCAATACAAGATCGAAACGTTGGCACGATAAAGAAAATGTTTTTCTGAAACCGACATCACACCCGACCGCATTTCACGATATCTGAATAACTATTGTAATAGAGCTTTATTTTTCAATATGTCCTATGCATTTTATTATTGAAAAAAAAAATGGTTTATGTAGACGAATAAATCACTATTGATAAATTATAAAATTACATTGATACTAATTAGAACTGGAAGTTTCGTATGGGATGCAATCATTTTCAATGGGACCAGCCAGGCTGAGAGACTCTTTGTGAGTGTATCGAGAGCGTCGTTTCAGAACCGCCATTCTAATTCCCCTGAGATTAACCATTTGAACGAAAATTAAACCGCATAAATTGAGCAAGGCCCTGTCAAAATTGAATTATCCGTTAAATATGTATATTTGACGGCCGGTGGGGCCTCGGTGAGAGAGGTCCTTTGGGAAAGCGCGCCGGCACGTTACAGCGTGAGGAAAATGGGCAACCTCATCGACCTCGGCCCCCCGGCAAATTGAGTTATCCTACGAGGACAACACGAACAAATATGAAGCTCCAATTAGGTGCAAGGGCACGGGAGGATGAAAGTGACTTTTTTCGGAGGTGGGAGATAAAATCTGTAATCCTCTTATTTATGGACCCTGGAGATTTAACTGTTGTTTTTAGAAATAACAAGTTCAAATAAGCCAAACTTTTTTTGGCTTATAGTGTTGTTTTATCATCCATCATTGGTTTGTGCGTTATTCATTTTTATTGCGCTGGTGCAAAGATAAGGCAGTCGAAACTATTTTTAATTTTTATAAAATAAAGAAACTTTATTCAAAATATTTTACATCACAATATTTGCCAACGTGTAATAAATAAGCTCAGACATAGAAATCTTTATTTCGACTCACAATAAAGCCTTGGAAGTCGTTTTCGGCTTCACCTCGTCTTAAAATTTCATCTATCAAGAAGTGATCAAAATACCTTTTAAAAAACTGGAAGTCTGTAGACGAGAAGTCGAGTGAATATGGAGGGTGCGGGAAGGGTGAATATCCGACGTCCTTAAGTTTCCGCAGGGCCTGGTGTTATCGTGAAGAAGAATACGGTTTACCAATGCTGGAAAAAGGCATTGCAGTTTCCCGAGCATTTTGTCAATTTCTTATTATTTCTCTGCTGTGATAGTTTCACCATAATTCAGATAATTATATTGAACAACCCCAGCAGTACACCACCAAACAGTCTCTTAACTGTTTGGGGTGCAGAGTTCGTTCGGGAAGTGTTTTGGCGCATCATCCTTGTCCAATCACTGACCTTACGCCTCCTGTTATCGTACAGAATCTATTTCTCATCGTACAAGATGATTCGATCGAGAAATGGATCATTTTGATGGCGCAACAGAAGAGACTACAAATTTCTTTGGGCTTCGGTTAGTTAGTGCGGTACCAACTTCTTTACTTTACCAAATTGCCCCAGATGGCGAACAACGGTTGTCTGGTCAGCACTAAGCTCTTCCGTAATTTCCCCTGTTGGATTACGTGAATTTTCTTCAAACAACGTTTTGGTCATCGTTTTTTTGGTCATCGTCCACAGCGGAAGAACTACCGCGATTTTCCCTTTCTTCGAGATGAGATCTCCAAGATGAAATCTCTGAAACTATCCCTGCAAAGTGCATTGGCTAATGCTTTCCTCCCCCAAAACTGTATTTTTGTTACGCGGGGTTACGGCCGTATTTCGCCCAAGTTTAAACTTGCACAAATAAATTTGACGAAAATATAGTTTGGACGTATTTAATTTCGCATGTCCTCACTTTTATAAAATTCCATATGAACTAGAATGCTTTGTATAAAAGATAATAGTTAAAAGTATTTATTATAATCCTTAAATTAGATTTAAAGATTTAGCTTTGTTTACGTGACAATTACCTGCAAAAATAAAACAAATTTTCAAAACCTGCATTGATTTTGCACCAACCCATTAAAAGTATAAAGTTAAAACTTCATCAATATGTGATTTCAGCTTAAGAAACAATCAAGTTTTTCCGTATTGTGGCAATAATGTACTATTAAAAATGTATCTGCCGACAAAGTCTGTTAATTATAGACAGTGTTTTCTGTGAGGAGGAAACTAGCCACAATGGAAGCTTAGGTGTCCAATGCTGCTAATTGATCCGGGTCGCCCTGGTCCACCGTTAGTGCAGAGATGTTTAATCAGATTAAACGAGCCATTACATGGCTGAAACGACGATTTAGGTTTTTGTCAATTATAAATGTGATGAACAAACCAAATATGTTGTTTTAATGTTTTCTATTTTCTGTATTGTGAGTCTACCAGTAAAGCTGGAGCAAACTGCCAAACCTGCAGGTACTAATGGACAACTGTCTGCATGTGAAAGTCTACATTTCTCTCTAGTTAGGCTTCAATTTGCTTTTATATTTACATTTTCAACAAGGAGATACTGTAGTACATATTATTATTATTGCATATTAATGAAGCTTATTGACATAAAAATAGTATTAAAAAAATGTTTCTTCTCAGGAAGGATTTGATTAATGTAATTGGAAAAATTTTCATTACAGTAGTTTTTCTATAATGAAAATTGGATTAGATCCTCACACATATATACATGTGCAGAATTGGGCTTATCAACCCTCTCACACTGCATATTCACGCCAATAAATACATTCACTCTCAACCACGATAAGTACGCAAAACTATCAGTACTATACACATTAAAACAGCCCGGTTTCCCCCGAAAACTGGAACAGGGGACCCAGATATTTGCAGCTGTACTTCTCCAGTACTACTGTATATTCTCATATTGGATGGCATTACTTCTCCTCTACATAAAGCCAAGGAGCACCCTTCAATTAGGTGGAACTTATCGAGCAACCATGAGCAAACAACAGACCAAACCAGCAAGAGTCAAACAAAATCACACACGAACACTATTAGAAAATAACTTGTATATCATATTGTGTACAACATATAGATACTTTGTCTATTGCAGAAATATATAGAAGCGGTGCTCTAGAACTGTTTTTAGCTTCTAATTTAAAAATGAGATTATTGATTAGTACCTACTAATAAAATTTCACCTAAATAATTTTATTACTTAAGCTCATTAGTCACATCTGTAAAAACAAAACTAAATTAAAAAATTTGAAAAACAAAAGATTTTTTTTTTAACGGAGTCTACAATTCTTTTCAGGGGTATGGTATCGAGCTCTTCATTGCATTGGATTAGCAATGGGATTTCTCCACTCTTGCCTTTAATTTTGTATATATTTCCTATCCCATTGTTACATATTACCGAAATTGAAGGTAGTTGTAATGTACCGCAAATTTAAAAAAAAATAACTTTTTTAAGTGTTTTAAAATCATCATCATGAACAATTTCATAAACTTCTTGGTAACTTATTAAATCATCAAAGCTTTAAATTAAGTGTGTTTTATTATTTGGAACAACAATGTTATAAGAACTTAGCTTAAGAAAGATGCAAACTTTAAAATACAAATAATAAAATATATACATTAAAAATTAGTATTTTGACACTGTACAAAATATTTAAAATAATTAATTTACAAAATTATGTACATTCTAAAACATCATGGAAGACAAAAGAAACAAGGTGCATGCAAAATAATAATTGTGATGGATCATTAAATGTTAAATATACAATTAATATATACAGAAGAGAAACATTTTTGTTAAAATCGTATTAATAAATAAGATAAAATCTCCAAATTTAGCAATTAAGAGCATAGTGAATGTCATCAGGGCTAACATTTAAAGAGAGCTTTGTATTAAGGTCGCCTCTTCCTTTCTCAATAATTATCAGCCCAGAGTTAGCTAGTCCTGAGCACACGCTCAAAATATCTCCAATAGTTGGAGTAGGGCAGCCTGAAAACCAAATTAAAATATTAGAATATTTGGATCACTTTATTAAAATATTTTTAAAAAACTTACTCTCCATAGCACAGACTGCAATAAGTTGTGGAAGCATAAGACTAACTGTTGACTCTTCGACTCCTGTCCTAATAACTTCATCTCTCAGGGACCTCAGTATCAACTGAGCAACTTGGCTGCATTTCCTTTAAAAAAAAAATTATTATTTTTATTGTGTAGTATTTAGTGACCGTTAATTAATGATTATTTGGAGATCATGTGATGCAGTCTTGGGTGATGTAGGTTTAGAAAAACATTTTCCTTATTGTGCCAATGTTTCGATCTTTATTTAGATCATATTGAAAAACCAATTTTACAACTTACTTTATTGCTTGAACTCGAATCCCAGTGAAAATCTGATTCAAAGCTTTCTGTATATGTTGAACAGTAACTACTTCTGATTTTGATTCTAAAAGTTCTGTCGACCTACGGCAAATGTCCAATGCCCTGCGAGCATCTCCAGAAACAGCGGCTACTTTTCTAATTAAAAATACAAATGAAAAAAAATCTTAATTGAACAAATTTTATGTATGTAATGAAGAACATACCTTGCTACAAGTTGGACAGCATCAGCCTGAAAACTTGTGCAGCCATTCAGCCTATTCATGACAATCTGTTGTAATTGCTGAAATGTATATGGCTGAAACACTAATCTCGTCAATCCCTGTTTTTAAATTAACAAAAAATTAATCTATTTTATCTGAAAATTAACAAAGCCATATGTTACAAATTCAATACAGTACCATTCTACTAGTAACTTTTCCCTTGAGGGTCCTTTCTGGTAAATCCATGGTATTTGCTATTGTTAGAACGACTAGTTTTGAATTTCTTTTTGTTGTCCAATCCAAGATGTTGTATATTACATCCTGCCTTTTGTTGCACAAGTAATCCAACTTACAAAAAATATAATTTTAAATATGAGCCTAATGTAAAATTTTTTTAAAATAATTAATTTTAAAAAACCTCATCAACTAGAAGAATACAACATCTTTTGTTTTTTCCAGTGAATTTATCCTCGAGGGATTTCAAGGCTTGCTCCGGAGTGAGTTTATTCTTGGTCAACGTCTGCCATATCCTTACGTAAGCTTGCCTCGGCTCGGTAAGTCTTAATCCATTCACCTCGACAAACTACATGGACAAAATGTTATTAAGGAATTTACAAAGGATTAATTATAAAACCTACATCAAAAGCAGGAACTTCATCATCTTGTGATTCCTTCTGGAGTGTTTTTACTACCGTGTGGACTGTGGCTGTTTTCCCAGTACCAGGAACCCCACTAATGTACATGCACCTAAAAAAATAAACATCAATTTTTATTGTTTTTTTTCTTTTTTTTTTGTACAAATAAAAACAGTTTACAGTTTAACTCACCCTCCCGTCATATCTTCTAGTTTCCTTAGCAGGAAGGATTTTATGTTGCTAAATTCCTTCTCCCGGCAAGGCAGCGAGCTGGGAAGAGTGGCAACCTGAAGTTGGGACCTTGCAAAATCCAAACCTGTCTTTGGAACCTTTATTGCACAGCTGTCTCTCTCAGCAGCGACTGGCGTTAGGAACCCATGGCCAATTTTCTTTGAGAAAAAAAATTGTTATATGTGAGTTATTGAAGAAAAAAAAGCATCTATTACCTTTAGAGAGTGGGGAGTAGCTGGTGTCAACATGAGCTTTTTCCTGACAGATGGACTTCTTGAGCTTGAAACTGGTGTTTTCATTAACTCTTCTGTATTTATTGCGCTCTTTGGAGTAACCTTTGGAGTATTGGCTTCTAAAACACGCTTTCTGAGTGACGGTGTCCTTGGAGAAGGTGCTATGCTGCTCCTAGTCACTCGCTTTGGTGTAGCAACAATACGTGACTTAGTGGAACAGCTTCTCAACACTCTCGGAGAACTGATAAAAGGTATGTCGTCATCGCTGTCACTTTTTACATTCAATTTCCGCGGAGATTTCAATTCTAACGGTTCAACACCATCATCAATTTTATTCCGACTTTTTACCGGAATGTATTTATCGGAATTTGTTGTATCTTTTGGTGAACTAGAAAGTCTAATATTATCATTCTTATTTCTTTTATTGGAATTAGCGGGTGAAGTAGCTTCCTCACTCTCCGAATCTTTGCCTTTAACCTCAGACAACCGTTTACTTCTTTTTGATAAAGTTTTCTTCGTGTTTTCAACTTTATCTTCTTCTATTCTAAGTGATTTTAGGCCTCTTTCTGTTATCTTCTAAAAAATATTGAGTTTGTAGATTAAAAAAACAAACTATATAAGATTATAATTACCATTTCTTCTGATTCTTCATCAGATGATAATCCAAGCAGTAAGGGTAAATAACCATCCTTCCAAACAAAAAATTGTAAATTAAAAATAAACAAGTAAATAAAATTCTCAATAAATATATTTTATTTGTTGCTTGATCATCACCAACGATCCTGGTCTGACCACTGATGATGGAAGATCAAACAACAGGATCATCAATTCACAGGTCTTACCGATATTTTTCAAAAAATATTTTTAATCATAATACTTTTTTATATATATATATTAAGATAAAAGTAAATAAATTGACCGAAATATTAATAATGATAATGAAAGTTTTTTTTTTGTTTTTTCTTACCTCTTCATTTCTTTCTCTCAATTTCCTCCCTGAATCTTTTATTGTCTTCATTATAGCATGTTCAAATGTAACACATTCATTGTTACTTATTCTCTAAAAATAATATTTTTTCAAGATCGATGCATATTTTAGGGGTATTTGAAAAAGCAATTTAAAAAGTAAAATAAAATACCGGCGTCCGTGTGGATCTTCTTGGTGTCCTGGCATTTCCAGTATTGCCATTTACCGATGACATCTAGATTGACAAAAGTTAAATTTCGAATCAGTGAAAAAATAAATAAATTACCAAAGTTTCTTCAGATTACGGACCATTACAAATAATTACAATAAAAAAGGTTCAAAGCTTCTACTGTAGTATTGAAAAATTTTATTTAGAGCATGGATTATTATGATGAAACAGTTAACTTATTAGATATTGGGTTGTAATGGATGATCAGGTTAATACTTTAATGTAATATGCAGGAAAAAATATACATATATAATTTTATAATGTTATAACATAATAAAATATAACAAAAAATACCACTTTTCTTGTTGATCTTCTTGGAGTTGTAGTTTCTTCTTTACCAGTAACCTCATTAACTGTCATCTAACAACAAATATTACATTAAAAAGTTGTTTCCCCATGGAATAAATGTTTTAAATATAATTTGAATGTATAAAAACCAAAAAATGTACATTTATTTATACGTACCAATTTTCTTGTAGATCTTTTTGGAGTAGTGGTTACATCTTCACTATTCCTATTTACTAAAGCCATCTAACAATAAAAATAAATTTAACGAAAGGATAACAACATTTTAAAAATAAATACGTGGTACATACAGGAGTTCGTTTAAGTGGTGAATCCAAATGCATCTTGTCCTCACTTCTATTTACCTGCAAATTAAAATATTAAACTTAAAACCTTTAAAATAAATTTTAAATAAATAAGACATTTTTATCTCAACCAAAACCTTACATAAAAAGAATAATTAATTGAAAGAAGTAACTTGGTTAATTGACCATTAAAACATAAATGGATAAATAAGAAAGTTGTATTTGTTGTCCATATTCCCATGAATAATAATTTTGAGTCTTGAAAAAATAATGTGGAGAAGTATAAAATTATTAAATTTAATAAGATACAATGGTTAACTTACAATGTTAGATGATGTAGTTATCAGCTTGGAAGGAGTTAATATTTGAATTTCAGTTTTACGTTTTATTATTATTGGTGAAACCTACACCGAAACATTAGAATTATAGAAGAGATGAGAAAATTAATTATTAATTCAAGAGTCAGTTAAACAATCGAGAGAAAGGTAAATTATGCGTATAATCACCACATTCTGTGCATGTTTAGTCGAAGGCGATGACACTTTATCGACAGCGTATTCCAGTTTTCTTTTCAGTTTCAAAGGAGAAACTTTGCAATTCTCCTTCCTAGAAAATAAATTCTACAGTAATAACATCATTTTATTAAACGTTTAACAATATGAAGAAGAAAAAAACACTGGTACACGAACCTAGGTGAAGGGGAAGAAAATACTATGGAACGTTTTGCACTTGCATGTAGGCCGAGCGCATCAGTTTTGCTATTTGGAGTTTTAATTTTGTCCACCTCCCATTCATTCTTATTTCTATCTGCATAATGGTCATCATTTGAAGATTCATCGTCGTCATCATCATCATTCATTAAAATGTCGTGAATTTCTTGTTCAGACAAAGGCCTGTACGCATCCTCATGATCTAAAATAATACAACAATAATGGTAAGTAAAGAGAATACATTTTCCTGCATTTTATCAATAGTCATTAAATCAGCACTATTCATAAACATAGCATATTAAAAATTCAAACAATTGATTTTATAAGAAACAGAGATGGAAGGAAAAAAGTGGTAAAGGGCATAACAACAAGAATGAAACACGTATAAGACCATTAAATTGAGACCTATTAAACAAGCTTGGGAAGAGAGGTTGCCCCAAGAATAGACGAGATGATATCTTGGCAAAACTTATGTAATATGTTAAATGTGCAATCAAAATGAGATGTTTGCGAGACATGGGGGACAATACTTATACAAATACCATGGGTTCCAGTTAATATGTAAAGCCATAAGGCCTTTATAATTTTAATAATTTTTAATTTTATATATATATATATATTTTTTTTTTTTTTGTAGTTTTGTAGGGGAAAAATTTATTCCATATCCAATTCCAAACACTTCTTCAAATCCAATTAGATTCTACAACAAAAATATAATTCAACAAACTTATAATAAATTAATTAAATCTAAAATTTTTAATTAATTAATAAAATTTTGGCCAATTAAAAAGATGAATACACACTCCTTGATTACCTCAAACAGAACAAGTTTTATTGTTCTAATTGAATAATGATCAAATATTGCAGAAAAAAATGTTTTGGTTGATGCTGTCATTTTGTCAAGTGTTTCGTGAAAGTTCGTATATAAAAAAATAAATCAACAAATTGTGAAAATCCTAGCGTTGACTAACAAATATGGTCGACGAGAATAAATTTTGGATAGTTGAAAAGATGAAAACATACTCGCCTGATAGTCTTGAACATTGTTATTATTATTATTTTATTATTCTAGCCAATTGTCGTTATTTGAGGAAAGTATTACGAAAAATGTTTACTTTGTTTGATGCTTTTGTTTTGTCAATTGTTGCATTAAAGTTTTCTATTAAAAAAAAATTCTCATAGTTTGTGGGTTTTTTTTTTTTTTACTTTTCTATATTAAATCCACTAGTTTTAGTGGTCCACTTGACCAATTAATATATTTCAATTACTTTTTTATGTCAACTCCAAACCTTAATTAATTGAAAAAAACTTTTCTATATTTTTATTCTGCTTTATTTACCATCATTTATTCATTTATTTGTTTATGAATATCAATGTGAAGATGGGCGTAAATTCCCAAATCGCCCAAAAAAATGTAAAAATAAAGCAGAAAATTGAAAAAAAAAAAAAAAAAGTATAAATACAAAAAAGACATTACATCTTTTAAAAAACCCATGTTGCATAATAAAGATTATAACTATTTTTCATATCCAAGACAACTTCTGAACAATTCTTCAAATAAACAAATAAAAATATCTTTTATATCAAAAATACAGATTCAATAAACTTGGAATAGATAGAATGGTGGATTGTGAAAGTCCTAGTGTTGACTACAAACATGTTCAACGAGAATACATTTTGATCAATTAAAAAATGAATACATCCGTCTTACTCTCTTGAACAGAACATGTTTTATTGTTCTAATTGAATAATAATAGCATATAGAAAAAAATTGCTTTCGTTGATGCTTTTTGTTTTGTCAGTTGTTGCATTAGTTTTCTATTTAAAAAAATATATATTTTTCATAGTTTGTAAGGGTTTTTATTTTTAAAAAATCTATATTTTTCTGATTTCTTTATCATCAGCATCTATTTACCATATTTATGAATATTAACGTGTAAAATGGACGTAAATTCCCGAAACGTCCAAAAAATTTAATGTAAAAATAAATCAGAAAATTAAACAAAAAAAAGGAAAGTTTTGTTTATAAAAGAACCTCAAACAATAAATACAAAAAAGACAATACGTCTTTTAAAAAAGCATTATACAAATAAAATCACAAGCATAGTAAAGATTACAACTATTTTCCATATCCAAGACAACTTTTAAACAATTCTTCGAATAAACAAATAAAAATATCTTTTATATCAAAAATATAGATTCAATAAACTTGGAATAGACGGAATTGGTGAACTTTGAAAGTCCCAGTGTTTACTAACAAACATGCACCATGAGAATAAATTTTGATCCGTTAAAAAAAATAAAGAATCCTCATTTTATTGTTTTGAACATAGGTTTTATTGTTTAAGTGTTAAAGAATATTTGTTACAAGGTTTTGTGTTATTTGAGATAGATGTAATCCTTGGGTTGTATAAAATGAAAATGAAATTACCTCTGTACTTTTTTGATTTTCGGTCTATGAATGTGGAATTTTCCGAGTCCGTATCTGTGAGCCCATTCATCCCGGTCACCTTTCTCTAGAAATAACACTCAAATTGATAAATACTACAGACAGTGACGAGTACGATTATTAAAAAAAACACCGAATACCTTTTCCCCTTTGATAGGCATTACGAACTACAAATAACGTTTATTATATTAAAACTTAGATGATCAAAATTGCAAGACAGATTTTGCAAATAAGAAACCCAACGGAGTGAAAGGTAGTCGTCGACCGACTTAAGTCCAAGTCCCCCCGTGCTTATTTACTTCGAGGGTTTGCCCGCCAGAAAGGTTACGCCCTTGTTTTTGCCTCGCTTGCGGCGCGCTCTGTAAAGTGGCCAACTGGAAACGTAAACGCTAAACGGCTAAACGGTCCTGGTTGGGACTTTGGGAGTTGCCGAGTTGGGTGCGTGGACGCCCACAAAAGCGGTTTCTGACCATTTCACAACGGAAAAGCGCCAAATGACGAGCAAAATAGTGGATCTCGACTGGCAATTCGGAGGTATTTGTGTTTTAATTGATTTAACTAAAGATCCGTGCCTCTGAGGCGGGGATTTTATTTTATTTGCCAACACAGAAAACCATGAACGACGCTAGTTTCGTTGGAGATCTTAATTGTGACTTTAATTCTCTTTACATCATGTTATTTCCTCTTGTGGTCTGAGGGGTGATGTACATGAATTTTATTACATTTTGTTCTACCCATGGTAGGTCTGTTGTAACTTCAGCCATCTTCAGTGTGGTAAATTTGCTTAGACTTCATTTTTTTTATTTAAAAAAAACTGACTAACATACTCCAATCAAATCGAATAATATACCAAAAATTATTTATTTTCTTAAAGTTTTTTCGTATGAGTAAATGAAAATGTTATCATTTAGCTATGTAAGTATAATTATCTGAATCTTGTAAGGAATTTTATGTACAAAAAGGTTAGAATGTAAAATATGGGTGTGGTCAAAACCAGTTTTTCAAGAACTACATATTTCACTTACGATAGAGTTGCCATAATAATTATTCAGAAATCGTGAGATGCGGTCTGGTGTGATGTAGATTTCAGAAAATGTTTTTTCTGAAACCTACAACACACCAGACCGCATCTCACGATTTCTGAATAATTATTGATTAACGGTCACTAATCAGTAAACGGTCAACCACACACACGTTGCCATAATAGTTCAAGAAATGACCGGAACATATTTATCAAGAGCTCGAAAATAGGTGTACAAATGGAAACAGATACGATAGGTATACACAACATGTTTTCAGTGTATCGCGCATATGTTAGCGAACTCTTGATGAATATTAAGTCTGTGCGACCCTCCATAGAAATGTCTCCATGAACCAAACCACCACCAGAGCTTCTCCGGAGTGAAAATGTTGCAGAGATATATCGCTCTCCTGTTTCTCCGAATCCTCTCTTGGCTGTCAGAAGACCTCAAACAAAACCTTGACCCATCCAAAAACAAGATTTTAGTCCAATCTTGCTCAGACAAATTGATGATTTCTTGTGAAACTTAATCGAGCTGTTCTGTGCGTTGTCAGTTCTGAACCAGTGGCAGGCCTTCTCGCAACTAATCCACTTCTTGAAAGTTCGTGAACTGACATTAACATTTCTAATGGGTTGAAGTCTGCTCGATCTCAAAAGCGGTAGAATGTTGATTACGGAATACATTTGAAACAATGAAACGATCATCTCTCTGAGATTACACGATAGTGACCTGATCCATGCCTTCTTGAGTAACCTCCAGTATCTTGGTAGCGATGGAAGACCCTTTAACTTTAATGAAAGACCATTATTGAGTTACATACCATTCAGTACTTAAAAGCTATTTAAAAAAAAAAAAAAAAAAAAAAAAAAAAAAACTACTCACATTCATGTTGAACCGGCACTGGGTCTATCTACACTGGCAGGTTTTTTTAATATTAGTCAAATGCAATCCAGCTTTACAAGCTTTCAAATCCGAAACACGTTTAAGTAATATAAAACACCTGCGAGTGTTGACGTACCCAGTGCCGGTTCAAAATGTTCTCCAACTGGCAGATTGACACCCACCAATTTTATTTACATTTATTTATTATTTGATAGCAATAAAGTACAAATGTCTGTTGTATTTTAATTATGAAAATTATATTAAAACCTACAATGAACTGCACAATGTATGTATGGCATCTTTCAAGACCTATTGCCCGGTTCTGTACAGTACATTCTCGTTATCCACGTTGTACTTACCAAGTATCATTTCACAGCACTTCCATCTACATATTAGACTCTTTCTGTATCACATGTTCCTATCGTCAAAGTTATATATGAACTAAGAAAAATACAATGTAAGATAACATATATAAATTCACTAGTTTCATGGTCCGCTTGACCACTTGAAAAATGTCAAAAAGGAGGGAAAATTCAAAAGGTGTGGTTGAGATGGGAGGTTGGTGTCCGAGTGGATCGAGGTCACGATAGCTCAAGTGGTAGAGCAGCGGCGTATCAAGCCGAAGATCGTGGGTTCGAATCCCGCTCGTGCCATTGACTTTTTTATCTCAATTAAAAACCTTAATTAAACATATATAAAATTTATTCCACCCAGAAAAACATACATCAGCAGGTATGACCCTAGGCACGACATCAAAAGAAATGAGAAAAAATTATTAGGGACCTAAAAAAGATAAAATTTATTTTTAAAACAAGATAAATTCCACGGTTAGAAATAGATATGATGAATCAGCGAAGTTTGCACTTTCAGCTTTCTCAAAGGACATTGTTATAGGAAGTTGCTTGTCTGGTTTTTCCATTGTTTGAGTCAGCAGTCATGTTATATTGATGTTTCATTCACTATTGGATCATATTCTGTCTTTCAGCTTTTGAGCTAATAGAAAAATTTCTCCGAATTTTTCAGTTGTCCATTCCTGTTTTTAGCCTATTTTACTATCTTCTTCATTCTCTTCTGTGGCCGATTTGATTCATACTCATTCCCACTCTCCTCTAATACTCAACTAGGGGGTAAATGCAGGTGAAAGAAAGCGCGAATAATGAGAATCTACTGTATTTACAGTGCGCAGGTGAAGGTTCACCTGTGAATTTTATTACTTGCAATGATATTATTAATTCCATAGTTTTGGGATAAGTTCTAAACCAATAATTTGAAAAAGTACCTCAGTACATCACCAAAAAGTAAGTTTACAGCAATGCAGTTACATTCATGTTGAACCGGCTACTTACTGTAACTGTCTTCACTTGGAGGTTTTTGATGAGCCGGTTCTAAAGGTATTCACTGACTCTCAGACCAATACTTTACTTACATTCATTAAGTACTTAATAACAATAAAATGGAAATGATTTATTTTAATTATCATAGATTTATACTAGGTTATAGAGTGGCTGCTTCCACATTTACATCATGAAAACACTGGAATCTGTAGCATTGTTATTGCAGGAGTAAGCACGATACTCTAAATTAGCACTATGGACCTATTTTAATTATGAATAAAACATTGAAACAGAAGTGTAAAACATGGTTAAAACAATAATGGCTTTATTAATTTCATGGTTACTGCGATGAGTTTCAAACCATTTCTTTCTACTGAGTAAAGTATTTCTGGACAACTCCAAAAAATAAGTTTTTAGCATTGAATTACTATTAAAAAATATTGGCCATTACCGATCATTTTGATCTGTTTATGATGATGGTTTGATCGCCATCTTCATTGTTAGATCGATACAGATGATGAAATGCCAATACTTGTCTTGACAGAACTAACCAGTGAGGACAGGCAAACCTCATGGAAAAATTTCACAATTCAAGTGTTTCTAAGACCCAATAATTTACAATCCACAATCAATTTTATGAAATCCTCAGTTTTATGCTATGGTTTATAAGTACTTCCATAGTACGATTTCAGTGGTTGACTTTTAGAAAATAGTTTGATTGTAGTCAAGTAAAAAAAAGTTACTGGAGTTTTCATTTGTTTGTTTTGAATTTGTTTATATTAAGATAAGCTAATACAGGCAAACACCAGTAGAAGAATAATACGCTTTAAAAATCCTGTATCATAAAACATGTTAATGCAATTTGATGAGATAAACTCTTCTCTACAAGAAACAGGTACTTTTTTTTCAAATTCATTTAGAAATACATGAATTCATGTTATTTTAATCTGGTTTTGTAATTGCATTATCCAGTTATTCTTTATATAAATGGGCAATATTTAATATATTAATCAGTCAAAGCAAATTTAACACTTTTTTAAATAAAAGACTCATGGTTTTCAGTTAGTTTTTGTTTTTTAAGTAAAATCTATGATGAATCAAAATTTTTACAGCTGTTCACAGTCTGAACTCCGTGCTGATTCAACATTCTGAGATTATAAAAAATACCGAACACTTATTCTTAATTTACTTCTCGTCCGGCTTTTAATCTTTCCATTGTGTCTTTTTCAGTGACAGCTGCATCAAATCTTCCATCCCTCGTGGGCAAGTCGTTCGTACAGCTCAAGCTGACTCTCGACACCGAAGGGATGCAAGAGATCGTCAACCTCGAACTCAGCGTCCAACAGTTTTATACGCTTTTGCATGATCTCGAAAAAGCCAAAAGTGATCTCAGTTAGAACTAAATCTCAAAATGTTATAAATGTTTAAAAAATTGTTATATATGTATATGATGTTAATAGTCCAACTATATTTGTTATTAAATATTTAAACAGTTTATTTTGTAATAAAGTTTGATATATATAATTTTGACATTTTCTTAACCTTGATATCCATCTTTTTTTTTTTATTAAAGAACACATTTCACAATACTCAGACAATGTGGTTAGGGGCGTCGGTGGTTGCAATAGGTTAGGGCTTGACACAGCGCTAATTGGTGTAAGATAAAGGTCCTGGGTTTGAATCCAGTAGCCCTGCATTCGAATCTGACATACTTACAAATGGACTTTTTTCTAAAACACCGGCACCTCAAGGGTTCATATAACCTCATAATTGAAATACTCTGGCCAGGAAAGAACAGATCAAGTAGGGCCTCACTACTACTTTCAACCTTATGCGCAGGACTTTATCAAGGAGAGATTGATATCTAGGCACCATCGACACCTCCTCCAAGCTCACTGGAGATTCCTTGATCTCAGAATCCGAGGGAGGCACCCCTTACTCCAGCCCAAGACCACAATGCAAGAAGAGGAAACAAGAATTGAGGGGATTTGAAATTTATCTATTAATTGGATGTTTTAAGAAATTAAAAATTTTGTTTACTGATGTTGAATTCTTGCTTAGTATGGATGGAGGTCTTTGGGGATTTGTTGGAGGGTTCTAGCAGAGGCGTATAAAGTTCAATCAATTATGATGAGGGATATAGTGATAGGACATTAGGTTTATGCATTTTTGTAGGAGGAAAGTGTGAGTGAACTAGGAGTGGCCAATTCAATGCTGGGTTAGAAGGGTTTCTTCTTCTCAGGAATGTCTGGAAGAGGATTCCCATTTTTTATATCAAAAAATCACCTTTAAGTAAGTACAAAATAAAAATTATATTTCAAATTGTACTCCTTTTAAAAATGTATATACAAATTGTTTATGTTTTAGTTTCATATTAATTAAGTTTTAACATATTTCCTGTTTAAAAAATTATACTAAATGTTTTTCCAATCATACAATTTTTTTACATACAAACATTTTAAACTGAAGTTATACAAAAGTTTATTAGTTTCGCACCGAATCTAAAACTTTTGTCAGCAAATTTAGCTACACAAATTCCCTGGTTGATAATCAGCTGTTTCTGTATTTCTTTGTGAAATACCAAATGAAGTCACTGGTTTGTTAAAATTGTAATTGTACTTCTAAATTTAAACTCTGGGACGTCAAAATTTCAGCCGAGCTCCGTACTAGAGTTGAAATGCAGAACGTTAAAGTTGTTAGAAGGCAATCCACAGCTGAAGAGGCCTCAAAACGAAAAGGACCAACTGCCAGAACTGAAGAAAAACCAAGTTCTGGAATGGCGAAAAAAGAGACCAAGTTGCCCCTGATGGGATCTGTTAAACCTGATAGAAAATTGCAAAAGGTTGGTTTCTTTGAGATTGTAAATAAACATAATAAAATACTAAGTGAAACAACTAATTCGGCAAATAATTATATTTTAATCTGAAATTTCCAAATTTATTTGCAAATAACAAAATACATAATTCAAATTAACAAGCCATTTATTCATTATTTGTTCAGAGTGTATCAAATTTGGAAAAAATGGACAGACAACAAAAATTCATTGAAAAATAAATTCAATTTTTCAATTGCAGAATGAAACCAACAAAGTGGAAGCGAAATTAATCTCAGAACTTAAAGTTGGTCTTACGAAGAAACGAGTAGTATGAAATACAACCTTATCAAAAAAGAGTTACACAAAAATCAAAATATTATTTTTCTTCTAGGGAGCAGATAGAAGAAACATGATTCCCTTTGATCAGTTTAAAAAGCAAACCGATTTGAAAAACGATCCTGAGAAGAAAAGTGTGAGTGACAAGCTGAAAATATAACACTTATTTTTTCTGTTCAATAATATTTTATAATACATTTGATTTTAGAAAATTGAAGAAGAAAAGCTAACCAAAGCTTCCTTAAGAGCCAGATTGGTTTGTAGTATTTACTTTTACGTATTATTAATACTTCTTGAAAATTTATTAATGATTCGGGGATTTAGTTTTAGTCGTGCAAACTTAGTTTCTTCGACATCAATACAAGGAGCAATTCAATACTGACCTTTTATTACATTGTAACAATTATTTTATGATAATTGAACACCAGAATAGGCACAGTGAAAGAGGCGGTAGTAAAAATATCATCATGATTAAAATTTCACCATAAAAATATGCCACAATCATTAGACCATGTTTAAATATAAAAAGAAAATTTGTTGGTTTATATTAAAAGATATAAGTATAATTCATTGGTATTCATATTTTACATTTTAAATAAAAATTGATAATAAATTTAAATGAAATTTAATTATTATTCTTTAAATAATAATAAAATTTAAAATATGAATATCAATATTATTTTTTTGTCTTTTTATAAAAATAATTATAGATGCTGATGATGGGTGTAAATTCCCAAAACATCTAAATAAAATGTAAATAAGTAATGTATTTAGATTACTTTTTATTTAAAAAAATGTTTTCTAACATAAACCAACAAATTTAAATAATATGGATTAGTCTTAAAAATTCTGTTTAAAATAAAACAACTTACAAAAATTATTAATTAATTGAATCTTTGGCAAATCTTTATCAATTGCAAGTCATCTTTCAATCCCAACACATACATCTGCATAATTTTTTTAGGTTTTTGAGGAGTAGAATAAGGATTTTAAAGATGCTTTTCTCCACTGTAACCTAGATCTATCGTGAAACCCCTATAAATTATAATCATATCTTTGAATGTGTGCTTTTTTTTTAATAAGACTTTCCTTGGTGCCTCTTTGTGGATTTCCTTTGGTGTGAGTAGTGTCAAACCGAGGAGGTGGTACCGTAACCTGGTTAATGGTTCACATTTACAAAAGATATGTGCCAAAGTTTGTCTCTGCTTTGCCCATCTTATTAAGATGATAGTAGAGTGGGTAGTGGCTGGTATATAAGCCTATAATTTTCCTCAAATCCTTCCTGCTGAGAGAGAGTCCTTTCGCCATCTTAAGATATTAATAAATCTCTTAGCTTGCCACATACAGAGAGCGTTTGTCCAGTGTTTTTTTTTTATCAATCCATTTTTCCAGTTCCAACTCCAGCACACAGTCCGGAGTACTTAGTTGTGGTTCTGGTCCCATGGGTGAGAGGGTTGTCCTACTTTGTCAGCCTGTTTAATTCCTTCTATACTCCAGTCAGGGAATCCACTTTAATTCCACTTGTTTTGCTTTTCCAGAGACATTAGGCTGTTCAGGCACTCCCAGACAAATTTGTAGTTGAAAGCATACACATTTAGTTGCTGGCTGTCTGAGAATATCTATATCTATACACCTTTCAAATTTTTCTTTATTCACTCCTGTGCACAGAGTTGAATTTCAGCTTGGAAAATCATTAGGATTAGTCCAAGGGGCTTTGCTAGGGTTTAAATCAGCTATTTTACCCTTACACCTACTCCGTTTCCATCTTTGATCTATCTGTGTACCGTATTAAAGACCCTTCCTGAAACTTGGTGCACCTTCTTCCAAAGTTCTCTACTATGTACAAACACCAGTTTTTTCTCTCATTTTGTCAGGTAACATTATATAACCACCACATTTATTTTAATTCGCTTTAGAATTTTAGACTCCTTAGATCTGGCTTTATTTCCTTGTATCCTAGGAGTTTATCGACCCTCTCAAAAAAAAAATCTTTTCTATGAACATGTAAGGTTTATGATTTTGCTGCATAATCTCTGGCCAATGCTTAGAAGATCCTTGGCTTTTTGCAGAATGTTCAGCCTTTCATTGGCACCAACCTTTGCTCTTTTTAATTTATGGTCTTCTACTATGTTTTAAACTTTTTCAGCAACCTTTTCTTCTCCTTGTTTACTGTCTTACTTCGTTCAACCCTCAAAGGCATTGTACTAATCAGGGTTCTTATCAGATGTGAGAACTGAGTGTTTGACAGCTTTGTTTCAAGCCCGTGAATGGGAATATGATCTTTTTTTTCACTCATGTCTGATTTATTTAGGAACCTTTTGTGCCTGCTCAAGTCAACATTACATATTAATTATAATAATTAATTAATGTTCTTCCTATAATAATAATTGCATAAATTACTCTTCCCACTGTATTGGAAACCTCTCTAGCTCTTAGACTTTGCAGAAGAAAATTATGGGTTCATAAGGATATGCAAGATATTAAATTAAAAGAAAATGACCTGTCGTAGAAAGAAAAAAACTATTTTTGTTGTATAATTTCAAAATAATGAAATGTAAATAATTTACTGTTTTTCTTCTTGCAGAAAGCCCCAGATTTCCACCCAAATAATATAATTCATTATAACGAAGAGTTTAAAAACAATGTGAGTAATTATCATGATTATTTAAAACCCACTTATAGTTGTTGCCTTTTGTGTTCTTTTAGTGTCTGTGTATAACAGAATTCTAAGTAAGATAGAACATCTGTATTTGCGTCAAAATATATAAAATTATAGGCTTTCTTAGGTAGAAATACAATATAAGTATACTATGATACTTACTACTGAAGAAGATAAAAATAATTAACATTTCAAAATATAATAAATCCTGTAGTTATCCATTTACTTTTATTTTATATTACTTTTTAAATGATTTTGTCCTTATTGCATATCATGATTTGCGATTAATAAAGAAGCTTTCTGGGTGGATCAGCGGTGTTTTTACATAAAGTAGCTAATGTTTTCTGTTAATAATTTGTGTATTTATTGGTGTGGATTGAAAAATGGCAAAAAGGGGGAAAATTTGAACGGTTGTAGGTTGAGATGGGAAGTTTATGTCTGAGGGGATCGACGTCACGCTAGCCCAAGTGGCTAGAGCAGCGGCGTCTTGAGCCGAAGGTCATGGGTTCAAATCCCGCTCGTGACCCTAATTTTTCATCTGAACCAAAAACTTTAGATGAAAAGAATAATTAAATGGAATAACTAGTATGGTCAATTATGAAATATGGATTAAATAGTGTGAATGTTTGGTGTGATGATGTTATGGAGTGGAGGGGTGATTTAAAAATAAGGGATTATTGTAACGCTGAGAGATATAGCACAAATGTATTAAATGAGAAGTAGCTCAATTATTCTCCCTTCTTGACCGAAGATGTAAATTGTCATTGATTTCATTCATTAGGAAACAATTTTAGAGAATAATTCTCAAGACAAGTTTGGCCCAATGAAAGCCGTTGCCACGGGCCAAATTTCATTAAAGGAATTTAAAAATAGGCATGCAACGGAAACAGATAAGTCTGTCTATTTGTCTACAATTTTAAGTAAGGAGGTAAGCTAACTGGAATAAAGCTAAAATGACTCCGTTCTTAAGTTAATAAATAGAGTGGCATTTATTATGATTAATTTTCTTACAAGGTTTACAAATATTAGTAAGTAGACTCTCCCAAAAATCAAGTTTTTCATAAATTGAGTGCTTTTTTATTAAATAATATTTACTACTGTATATCAGATTTTATTTTTAATATATTCATAAATTAGAGAACATAGCTAAGAATATCAAGTGGGCCAACTAGATGGGTTTGTAAAATATATTCTTGCGAGGGTAGTTTATATTTTAAATTATTATTGTTTTTTGGTCATCCTTATCATATATAATAAAGCATTACTGTTTTCAAATTAAAATTATCATGGTTTTAGAAAATTGGTGATGAGGAATGCCATCTCAACCATATGAGACTAAACAATTCAAATAAAGATGGGCTGGTGAGTTATCATATTCTACTAAAAATTACGATTTTCATAATAATAATTTTGTGGAAATCCTCAGGCGTCAGATATACTGCAGAAGCTCAGGGACAAATTTGAATATGTGGACTCTATGCCAAAAGGTCAAGCGTCCTTTGGGGAACTTCGAAGCATACTGGCTAACGAAAAAAAATCGGTAGGACTGCTTCCTGCTTGTTTGAACATCTAAGGCACAATTTTCATTCAAATTTGGATAAGGTAGTTGGAGTGAAAATTTGTCCACCTTTGATCAAAAATTTCATTTACAATCCAAATAGCGAATTGTATTTTAGCTCCTTATATATTCCCCAGCATCCAAAAAACAATAAGTGCTCCAGATAGTTAGAAAAGCTTCTTTTATGAAAAAAGAAAAAAAATATATAAAAAACCATTTTTCAGATAATCAACTTTTTTTTAACTATCTACTGTTTTCATCATAAATTTACTCATAGCTCTTGAATTGGGGAAATAAATAAAATAAATAAATAAAAAAAATTGAAGTTCTAAATTATGTTTATGAAGGCACCCTTCTAGAACTTTCAATATAATTTTTGGTGAAAAAACGCTAAATTTAAAATTTATAAGAAAAACATAAAATGTTGAACATCTGCGAAATGCTTTAGAATCAGACCATGGTTCATACAAACTTTTTTGCTCCATTTGAGGTGTAGAAGCACAAGTAGTGAATCCCTGTACAAAAAATAAATAAAACCATAAAAGTCAACAAGATTCCACAAATCAAAATGCACTTGGTAAAAAATAGTATGTTCACTAGTTAGTTAAGCACTAAAATGATTAAGTTTATAATAGCAGGTGAAGCAGAGGATTTTTTTTTTTTTTTTTTTTTTTTTTTTTTTGAGGGAAATAAGATCTACTGAGATTCGAACATGGGACCCTTACTAGTGATGACTTCCTTGCTTCAGTAGTTTTATTGCTTATCTTTTGATGGATCTTCACAGCATAAACTTACCTTCAATTTATTTAATATACTTTTTTAAAGAACAAATCATTTAATTAAACTATACATTAACTTTACATATATTCTGTATATAAGCATTTTTTGTTTTGAAATATTACTCTTAAAAATATTGCATATTACTAAATTGAACTGGTTTTTAAGGGTGATGAGAAGGTAGATGCTTTAAAACAAGCTCATGATGCAATAAGCCGATACAAGGCGGTGCTCCGACCCGAAGAAAAGACCGAGATGAACTTAATTGAAGACAAAACTTACGCCAGAGAAAAGCTTCGATCCAGGGTAATTAACAATTTGTAATCAGATCATGTTGCCTCTATTCCACTTGACTAACATTTGGCAGATTTTAAGGCAACTTTTTGATGAATGCCTAGACGACGTGGTGAAAGAAGTGAACACCAATCATAAAATTGTCAAAAAGAAAGTTTTCCAACCTTGTATTGAAGGTATGATCACAGATATCGAAGATGCGTGTAAAGAGCTTGACACATTCGATAGCGGTAACTTTTGTTAATTACTATGGCTAGTTTTATAAACCAAACCATTTTTTATTCTTTTTTTTTTCAGATATGGATCCAAAACTATTACAGAATCTCGATAAAATATTGTTGAAATGGAGAGAACCCCTGAACAGAGGTAAGCAATTCGATGATATCAAGTCTTTTGTATTAACAAATTCAGTACCGCAGCCTTACAGCCTCAATAGCTGAGCCTGGGACCCACCACACTACCTGCTTAAAAAACTAGGATGCTCTAGAGCTTGGCCCGACCAGTTGGCCCTATTTCATCATTCAGGAACCTGATCTGGTTAATTTTTACCCGTTTTCCAAATCTCTATAATTAGGATAATAATCAAAATATATTATAGTGTGTGTGGTTAAGGCAAAAATCCAATCTTAGGAACGAGTTGGGTGAAACGCATTATTGGATGCGTTACTGAGGCAATAGAGCTGGTAGAACATTCCCTCAAAAAGCCAAGCCCCACCAATCATCAAATAAAATAAAGAGTGCTCGGACCTACCTGAGCGTCTCACCGCCTGTTCGAGTTTAACATGAGCCTGAACATCCTCTGTACTGAATTTGTTAAAATCTACTAAATTCCTTAGTGCATAGATTAAAATTTTTCCATTTAATTTTAAATAGGAAAACATACTTTACATATCCAAATATCTTTGAAAAATAGAAACCTCTTTTGTATATATGAATCTTCACACTTGATCTTAGAATTGTAATTTTTTTGTAGAAGTTTGAAAGCCATCACATTTCAGAAATTAGCCATTTACAATCAGGAATTAAAAGTTGACTTTTTTTTATACAGTCTGAAATCCGCACATGTACGTACATAAACACAAACATGTGCTGAGTTGAGCCTATTCTCTTCTCACAGTCCACCAGCAATTCCAGCTTTTGCTATTTACTGTAAATTACCGGCAGACTTGAGAATCGCCCATCCCGGGTATTGGCAGTCTGAGTACAGACCTCACTCTCATCCATCCAGCCACGTGGTTGGGCTCTGGGGGGGGGGGAGTCAATAGCTAGATCAATTTAGCACCCCCATGCCCATTCGACATTTATTTTGAAAATTGTGTTTTGTGTTTCTGATCAAATTATTCTCTCATGGTAGTCTAAATCATATTTAAGAAAAGGATAATTATAGAAAAAACATATTTAACATTTATATTTGTCATATATTTATTTTTTTCCAGAAGCGAAAAAGCAAATATACAAACAATCCTTTAAAGAGTTTTTCACTCAAAGGAAGCAAGAGCTACGGAGTAATATAACAAAATAAATGAGATTTACTATCTTCAATTATCCAATAAAAGAAATTAATTTTACTAATATTATAATTTCACTAGAACAGTAACTGGAAAACAAACTAAAACGAATTTTTTCTTCTTTGTTTACAAACTCGTGTCTATGAACACTCGTAACCCCTAGAAATAGAACGGCAGTCACAAACTAAAACTTAAACTTAGAGATAATAAATAAAAAGCTCAGTAGCAGACATTGTTATTTACGCTCTTGGTTAATTATGAGGAGCGTGTTACAGGCGATGCCGAGTAGTTTCGCTTGAAGACAGTCTTTTCTCTCTTATTTTATCCACACTTTATCGCTGGTAAAAATTCCGTTCGTGAAACTTGAGCAAACTGGATCTACAGACTGGAATATTTTTTTATTTTTTTTAACTATAAGTTTAATTAATTAATTCATGGGGTATTGAAAGGGTAGTTTATTGTTTTACTTAATGAAATTGATTCATTTAGGAAAATAATACTTTACAAAAAAGTTCAAATAAAAGACTACCAATAATGTAAAACTAACTAATTAGTAATCAAAAACCTTTCTTTTTTATTAACACTGACTATACACCCTGTATATCGCCAAAAGGATTGACCCCCCCCCCGTCCTTAAAATTCAGAATTTCCTGAACAAGGCTTAAAGAATGGACTGTGCAAGAGAAAATGTCACATTTGTACAATTAAATCAAACGTTATTCTGGAGAGCTGAACAAAAGTACTACTGAGCAGTCGATCTGTTCAAATGATTCTGGGTGAAACGAACAACAAAAATTATTTAAATTTCACATGCTTGTAACCCAGTTAAACAAGAAACATTTTTCAGATTAATGTAATCGCTTATATATAGATATTTCTTATTTTTATTATAATACAACAAATTGTAAATCAAATAGCACCAAAATTGATCTGTTTAAACATTAATATTTAATTTGCCTTTTATTCTTTTTACGATTCATCTAATAAAGAGTAATTGCAAAAACTCAAAAATTTCCATTCTAAGCGCAAATGCAAATAAAAATTAATTTACAAAGAAATTATAAAAGAAATCACTAAGAAAATGTTTAAATACGTACATAATAAAAAAGGACTTTTATACAGCTGATTTAAAACATAATGAAAACAAGCATAATTATTGGTAACGCTAATTAAAAAAATATAAAATAAATATATACAATTTAACATGGTATTTTGCGATTGTAAATGAGAATTTCCTTTTATACTTTTGAGTCTATTTATAAACAGTTAAAAAGTGCAGCGAATTATCAAAAACCCCTTATCAGTTTTACTGTATAACACAATTGTTATTGCGCTGTGTGAGGCCAGTCCGGCACAAGTCCCTTTCAATTTTATCATCGTCTTCAATCCTGAAACATAAAGTGTTACAATTATGTACGAGTACGGGAAGGCAAAATGGGCAAAAAGATCAATATTTACGCTCTCTCTTGAGTATCTAAATGATGCACTAGCTCATCACGTTTGTTAACAATATTTACAAGCTCGGCAAGCAGGAGGTTCTCTCTCAGTTTCTGGTCTTCAGTCTTCTGCCAGTCTGAAAATATATTAGCTTTAGATTTCTGATGGTAAAAAGTTTTTTTTTGCAAGAAAACTAGCAGAAAACATTCTTGAAATTTTTTTCATGGTTAGATCAAATCCTAACATGTCACAATTAAATTGAATTTTTTTTTTTATAAATCAGAAGAAAAACTAAGTTTGGCCACCACCACAGCAGTCCTAATAAGGCTAGTGCAATTTTTGAAAGTAGCACAAATTTCTTGGAGTTTTCACAAACAGTCCAAGAGTATTGCTTCATTACATTATTAAAATTAATATGTGTGATAAAAGTAATTCATGGAAAGCTGAACATCAACAGCCCTTACAAATTGAGAGGGTAGCTTCTAATTTTGTTCTTAAAAGTATTCTTTAAAATAATGAAACCTATAAAAAAAATTTGCGTTTTTAAACATAAAAATTTTGGGAAAACAAATCCCCTTCCTCTTGGGGGCCGCCAGACTTACTTCATCCTGTATAAGGGGAATGTTGGCTCAGGGTTTGAACTGGGGTATGAATCCTTTTGCTCCAGATTGACAGTGAGGTCACTGAGAGATTACACAGAAATTAATTGCAATTAATTGCATTTCATTCCTTCCCGCCTTTAATTTGGTTTACATTTCCAATGTTCTGAGAATCTGCCAAAATCCTTATTTCATTTTCAAGGATGGCATTAAGTACCTGGTATGATCCCCAGAAAGAAAAAAGTGAAATATATAAACATTCAACATTTTTTCAGCTGAAGCTTATCACTATTTATAAAGCTATTGAATATGCAAATGAAAACAACATAAATTGTAAAAAGATTTTAATAATGTCGGAGATGGAAAGTTTGTTCGACAGTTTAAAAAATATAAATATTAAAATTGGAAGCAGTTAATCCATTGGGTGGTCAAATATGTTATTTGTCTGGAAAAAGGTAAATGGATAAAAACTGCACACTGGGCAAGAGGACACTCGAGCTTTGTGGGAAACTCTAGAGTTGACGATCTTGCTAAACGAGCTGTTTATATGGGGAGCTAATATTCCTATTCAGGACATAAAGCATCAGGTTAAGGTCATGCTGAAAGAAAAACAGTGAGGAAAATGAAAACTCGCACACAGGACCCTTTTTTACCTTAAAATATATCATATACCCTAATATTAATATTTATTCACATACGATTTGTCGAGTACAGTCGAAGATAAAAGAACCGGACACTCATATTTTTATTTCAAACTACATTATTGCCATTATATTAATTACAACTTACGTTAACATAAATCAAATTACTTGAGATAAAAAATTCGTGTTTTTATTTTAAAAAAATTAATTTTAATGTTTGACAGAAAATTGATCAAAACATTGGAATACCATTTATTGGTAGAATGAATTTAACTAACAATTTATTACATGGTTTTGATCAAAATAGTGCATTAAATTCACTAATTTCATGGTCCGCTTGACCAATTAATATATTATAATTAATTAAGGTTTTTAGTTGAGATAAAAATCCTTAATTAATTATAATATATTAATTGGTCAAGCGGACCACGAAATTAGTGAATTTAATGATTTAAAATGAAGTATACTTCACTAAAGCTCTCCGTGTCCATTTCATTTGTCGTCGAGAATCCAATCCGATTACACGACATTTGAAAAATGGCAAAAAGGAGGGAAAATTCAAAAGGTGTGGTTGAGATGGGAAGTTGGTGTCCGAGTGGATCGAGGTCACGATAGCTCAAGTGGTAGAGCAGCGGCGTATCAAGCCGAAGATCGTGGGTTCAAATCCCGCTTGTGCCATTGACTTTTTTATCTCAACTAAAAACCTTAATTAATTATGATAGTGCATTAAGAACAAAACAGGCATTGCGATTGTGAATCACGCTGTGTGACTGTATGTGGCGTTCACTTGATGTTGAACAGATGTGCACACCCTACCAAAATGAGACAAGGCATCGGGTCAATGTGTTCCCTGCTTTAGAGTATCTTTAGATCCATGTCTTGGAGGCAGTCTGTCTAGTGGTTTCCGTCATGGCTAGAAGGAGGGGGACTCCAGAACAAGTTTTGCTCCGGTGGTCAGGGAGATGTGGACTTTTCCACATTATTTCTACGTTAATGGTTTTTATTCACACCTCCGGAAAGACATACAGTAAAGGGATTATATTTAACCATTAAATTGCAGGTCCACTTCTCCTAGTGAATGGGTGGTTTTGGCCGGATGGAGTGGTGGCCCTTTGGATAATCAATTTCATTTTCTGATTTGTTTAAATTTTTTGGAAGTATTTTTAGAATTGCTTAAAGTATATATGTTATTGTTAGGGGAAAAAACAATACCAACTTCTTTACCTACAAGACTTTGAGTGATTATCCTTTAAGTCCCCCCCTCCAATTGAATAATAATTCATACGAAACAGTTTCTTTATAAATTACCTTCCATTGATAAAATGCTTCTTAACTCTCGATTCAATAGTTCACACCTCCTTTCAAGATCGTCTTCCTTTTCTCTAAAACATTTGAAATTGTTACTTCAACAATGTTTAAACTATTTGTTTAAATAAATATCTTACAGTATATTCAGCTGCATCTGCCTCCTCAGAAGTGCATTTTTCTTATTAACAAGTGTAAACCATTTAACCATCAGCATTTCTTCGAGCTCTTTGTCATTTCCTGTGAGCATGATAACTATCAGTTAATCTGATCTCAAAGAAATCGATTAAAACCTGTTACCAGTTTCCATAATTGTCCTCAGCTCTTTTTCCAAGACAGCGGCTTGTTTGTCGATTTGCTTCTGCTCCCTTTCCAGGGCCTCCATTTCATTTTGAATATAATTTATGTTATCTTTTGAAACCTGGAAGAAAACCAAGGGCTTAACTACTGTTTTTTATTATTAGTTTATTTTTATTTTCACTTTGTATTAAATTTTGGACAATCAAATCCTGTCTAAAAGACCAGTTATTACATGATATTAAACAAAAAACCTCCACAAGGTACAACATAAAAGAAAGACAAAACCATGAAAGAATTCAATTTAAACTTGTATAGCTATTTCATTGATTTAACAAGCTCCTGAGTTGCAAAATCAAACAATATAAGGTTTTTTTTTTTTTTTTTAATTTTACTTATAAATTAACAGCTCAACTTATTATGTTACCAATAGAAAGCGTGGAAATACTGCTGGATATTGTTAGGTCCTCCACTAAAATCTAAAACAGATGTGCTCAAACCCTCACAGAGTGAATCTGTCACTCGCTTTTTTACAATTCAATTTAATCAATTGTATTAGACAAATTGTTCAAAGTGATTTGGGAGATGTCGCGAGGATTTCCTTACACCTATCCCCTGCGCAGGTACCTCTATTCCTCTCCCTTTGGTTAACTCCCAGTCTATTCCTTTTTTCACCTTGTGGAATCTCGGAAATCAGGTGAGTGCTTTTACTTTGATATACTCATCTTACTTATATGAACAATTTTCTACAAGCTCAGACTACCCGATTATTACTTTTATTATTTACATTATTATTAATTATGATTAGTTGAAGGTCGTGAGATGCGGTCTGGTGTGGCGTACGTTTCAGAAAAACATTTTCTTTATCTTGCCAACGTTTCGATCTTTATTGAGGTCATCTTTATTCAGTGCATGAGCGGGATTCGAACCCACGATCTTCGGCTAGATACGCCGCTGCTCTACCACTTGAGCTATCGTGACTTCGATCAACTCGGACACCAACTTCCCATCTCAACCCCACCTTTTGAATTTTCCCTCCTTTTTGCCATTTTTCAAATGTCGTGTAATCGGATTGGATTCTCGACGACAAATGAAATGGCCACGGAGAGCTTTAGTGAAGTATACTTCATTTTAAATCATTAAATTCACTAATTTCGTGGTCCGCGCTTGACCAATTAATTGTAGAAAACTATTTTGTTTGTGAAAATTTCAAAAAGAGTCAGTTTTTTTTTTTTGCCTGGTGTAGTCGCGGTGAAACATGATGTTGCGTCTATTCACCTGTGGCGGATGTTTTTCTTTCACCTCTGCCCTGAGACTCTCTAGCTAAGCACAGTGTACCAATCTCTAATGAAATTATTAATATAATTAATGTGTGGTGTTTAGTGACCGTTACTTATGATTATTTTGAGGTTGTGAGATGTGGTCTGGTGTGGCATAGGTTTTAGAAAAACATTTTCTTTATCGTGCCAACATTTCGATCTTTATTGAGATCATCTTCAGGGCTCAAAGTGTTTGTTTTCCATGTTGATGTGGCATTCTTGGCTGTTGTGTTGAGAGTGCCCAACATACACACCCACCATGCTCTCCAGACCTTGCCCATTCCAATTTTCACTTGTTCTGCACCTCAGACAAGCACTTAAAAGATTTTAATTTTTGATCGAAAACTCTGAAAATCACTTACATATTTCTCCTCGTCTCAAAAAAGATCATCAAAGTCATCAGACTTTTACAAAAAGGGGATATTTCTGCTACCAGAACGTTGGAAGCATGTTATAGAAAAGAAAGGAAATTACATTTTTTGATTAAAAATAAAATAAATTATATTTTGAAAGTACTGAAAACAAGAAAAATTTATGCACACACCCAATAAAATTGGAAACAGTCTCTGATGCTTTTAATAAAATGTAGAGTTGTACTTATGATCATTAACCATCAAAAGCCAGTATTTATCAGGAATGTATTTAGACTTACCCCTTTATTGGGCTGATCTGGTGAAATCCTCTCCATGAGAGAAGTAAAGGAGTGAAGAGGAGAATGGCTAAGTTGTTTGTTCGGGCTGCTCTCCCGGCTATTGCTCATACTTTTACTGTTCCCGTTGGCCTCGATCAAATTCTGAAAACACAACTTTATAAATAATCTAAATTGATAATTTCCAACAATTTAAACTGACCTTTGTTGGCGAAGCAGGAGAAAGGATCCGGTTTGGTGAAGATTTGCGATTGTCAGTCGCCTCGATGAACTGTCCGCTGTCTATAGATGGACTTTTTTCAAGGCCTGGAATGCAAGTGTTAAACGACAACTTTTAATTGTTTTACATAATTTAAACTATTTACCCGGAGAAAGTGGAGAAACAACACCCATCCTCGCTTCTGCAATGAGTTTACGAGCTCGTTCTCTCAGTTGTGCCTGTCGCTCCTCTTCTCCCTATCACATAATTTTAATTTAAAAAAAAAAAAAAATGTAAAAGGGTTATTTAAGAATTTAGTTAGTACTGTTAGTTACAGTGGTCCATTTTTTCATTAAATTGACATGATAATAAAAATGTGGTAATTTTGAAAAGATTTTTAGCATACTAGAACTTCTATTTAATAAAAGCAAAATCATCAATTTAAATTAATACATTTTTAAAGCCAGTTAGGTTTACTTTGCATTATAATTTAAGTTTCTAGAATAAGAACATGATTATACTAATTACAATTAGTTTATTGGACATACAATGTTTTAAATAATGTATTTATTCACAATTGATAGAATGGACTAGTTTTCCATTTAAGCCAAAATAAAGTGTAAAAAAAAAGTTATAAGGGGTCCGAACAGCAAAGCTGCGATTCAAACCCTGGACCACTATGTGACAAATAAGATAAAAGTTAGTTTAAGTAGTTTCATCATAGAAAATCGCAAATTCAACAACCTCACATTTCATTGTAACGCGTAATATATTAGTTTTATTAAATGCTTCCATGCAGTAACCATTGATTTTAAACAAACATGCAAAAAATACCCAGTTAAAAAAATGCAATATAAACCAAGCAGTAGTCGAATGATGTATCAACTGAGGTTGTTGTATAAGTGTGCTGAAAAAGCAAAATTAAAAGCAACAGCCACCTTTGAACCTAGCCTACAACCAAATAGACGATGATACAAGGAATAAGATTGTTGACTTCATTCTGGTACCTGCGTTGGCGAAACTGGTTGAGATTTCGAAGCCTCCCTTCGTGCTTGTTCCAGCAGTTGTCTCGCCCTCTCTTTCAGCTCCCCATGTCTCATCAGAAGCCTCTGCACGACCATGCATAGTTATTGAACAAAACAGCTAAAAGTGAGCTTTTGCTACTCAAAACTCTGGAGGTCTAGGGTAAAACTGAATCCTACTCAATATCACTTTTTCTATAAAATGGCTGTGATCTGACATAAAATGTAAACGACGAATATTGATTGTACCGTGATGGAATTTACTTTCAACGTGCATTTATTTCTTGTAAAACAAACACTCCAAAGGTCAAATGTATGTGATGAGATTGATATGTAAACAAAGCAAACGAAAACAACACATAAGGCCTAGATTTATTGCCTCCTCTTTTTTTTTATATTCTCACTCAGAAACAAAAATTAAATGATAACTCTTTACCTGCTGTTGTCGACTTAGATGCTCATTGTTTGTAAGCGCAAGATGGTTCGGCGGCTGATTACCAATCCTGGTTTCTGATCCCTCTCGACTCTTGGCTGTATTGACCAAATTCAAAGAAGCCTAAAAATAATTATTTTATTAACTATTGTCAAAAGTCAAAAAATACAAAAGCAAAAAAAAATATATATAAATATATATAATTACACTGTCTTGAGATGACTGGGACCATGAATCGCCTTTATTAAGCTTCTTTTCATTACTTTGGCTTAAGAAACAAAAAATTATATTTTAGAAACAGTCACTTGTTTACAAACAAAATAAATTATTAAACTATTTTAAAAAATGTTACGAGTTGGATGTTCAGGAAGTCGAATGACGGATGAAATAAAAGAAAAAGTGAGATGCGGTCTGGTGTGATGTAGGTTTCAGAAAAACATTTTCTTTACCGTACCAACGTTTCGATCTTTATTAAGATCATCTTCAGGGCCTGGGATTTACAAACATTGTTTACATATAACAATTACATTTTGGATGTGGAAAAGTGAATTTATACAATGCAAAATATATTTTTTTATATATTCAAAGTATTTCTACTCACTCAAAGTGTTTGTCTTCTGTGTAATTGTGCCATTCTTGCGTGTTGTGTCTAGAGTGCCAGTGAGATTTTGCTATATTGTGTTTATATACGTTGGATTTTGAAGGGGTGGGGAAGGATGTCGGTATAGAAAAGACATTTTTGTATAAGGCGTCGGCTTCTTTGATGTGAAAAGAGCCGACGAAGGGAAAAAATGTGTTGGTAATGGTTCGGCCAGATTATCCTTTAGGAAAAGGAAAGCTAAATTGTTGGGAAATTAGACTGTGTGAAAAATATTTGATGTGTGGAATGTAATGTGATGATATAGGTATGTTATCTGTATTGAATTTGATTAATGATATTGGCGTAGCTGCGACTGAGTTTACATGTATCTGTTCTGTAATTGATGCTGTGTTTATCTCTGTTGATATAAACCATTTCTAAGAAATTAAGTTTATGTTTGTTTTGTTCTGTGTGTAATATTTTTGGATTTTCGAAGTCGAAATTGTGTTGGTGTTCAAGATGGTGGGTAGCGAGTGCTGTAGGATTTGGCTTAGGTTTTTTGCAATCGTAGATATGTTGCTTTACTCTCTTGTCCAGATATTGGGATGTAAGACCACACATAAAATCACCACACATAAAAGAAAAAGAAACAGCTTCCGGGTTCAACCGAGCTTTTGGCGACACACATTGCCATCCTCAGGGCCTAGATTTATTAAAAACAATACATAACAATTTTTTTGACAAAGCAATACAATTGTGAAAAATAAATTTCTAAATTTTTTATTATTATTTATTTATTTATTTTTATTACAATCTGTAATTATTATTTACAATATGTAATTTGCGGTTACATGAACTTATGTACAACTATTTACATTGAGGGGGGGAGAAAATAATCAATGTTATCCTCCCCCTTTTTTTTTTTTTTTTTTTTTTTTTTTTAAAGTTTACTCGGAAAGGAGGTCGCGGGGCCATTTCCTCTTAAGACGCCTTATGGGGTTGTAGGGATAGGACAGGACTTGGGCAAGACTATTTGGGTGGTGGGAGAGTTTTTTGTGAAACTTGATAAATTTCTAAAATTACTATTAAATAGTACTGCTTTGTCATAAAAATTGATATGTATTGCTTTTAATAAATGAGGATGGCAATATAATTCGCCGAAAGCTCGGTTGAACCCGGACACTGTTCCTTTTTCTTTTATTTCATCCGTCATTTGACCTCCCGAAGATCCAACTCATAACATCATTTGATGCAGGTCTATAACCTCAATTTCATCTTGTATTTTAAGAAACTAACCTTTCATCCTCATCATCAGACCCAAATGGATCAGTTAACTGCCTCCTTGTCATCAATACCGGCCTTTGAGTGTTTGTTGCATTATTCGGTACATTAATTGGGGATTTACTCTGAAATACAAATTACAAAAATTACAAACCGATTTTCAATAAAATCAAACGTTATACCTTCTCGCGGAATTTCTCTTTGGTCGGCGACAAGACTTTTCCAAGTATGTTTTTAGAGCTTAGCAGTATCTTGTCGGTGACATCCTTGACCGAAGAGGGCGACTTTTCTTTTAATTCCTGATTTTCTATGTTGCTATCTGGAATAAGAAGCCGCAGCGCTGAATTGCCTCGATTAACCTTTTTACCACCTCCAGAGAAATCGGTTTCTGATTCAGAATCGTTACCACCACTATTTCTGTAAAAAAATCCAAATATATTGTTTTAAAGTAATTAAATTAACAAACTAAACCTAATCTTTACCTTCGGTTGTTTGTCGTTTTGGAACGCATGTTCATAATTTCTTGTCCAAATAACTGAACAGTCACATCGCTATCTACATCCGTGTTAAATCGTCCAATCATATAAGAAGATTCATCTGTTGTCTTGCCTATCTGCTGTACTTCTAGTTCATGTCCTGAAATAATATGTTTTACCAACTTTTCTCAAGGGAATGTAGGTATTAATTTACCTGTAAAGTGTGCTCTAAGCTGATATAGGTAAGTCATGACTGCAAGTTTGTCCGGTACCGCTAAAACATCCATATCGCTTGGGTCTATGACCCTGGAGATACCTAAAGCCTCACCGGCGTCAAATGCCTTTTTACAGTTTCCCCTCACGTCGTGTTGAGTCAAAGCGTCAAACTCACTAATTTGTTAAAATTAAAAATTTAAAAACAAAAATGTAATGGCAATTAAAATATCAAGTGCTCACATTAAATCAGGGCGAAAGTGGTGAATTATGGCACAGAAAGCAAGCCCATTCCTCCAGGAGGTGGTTAAATTTGTTACTTTAACCCCCGGATACCCTCTTGTCATTTCTTTGCACCATTCCAGAAGATCCTGACCTGGTGTACTTTCCTGACCTTTTACACTATGTTTATTTACCTACAAATCATTCCCAAAATAAAATAATATAGATACAACAAAAAAAAAAAAATACTAACCTCTTTTAAATTCAAAGGTTGTAAATTGAGTCTAACATTTTTATCTTGTTCTTTTTCAAAAGAGTTCCTAGAAAGAATAAATAAAATATAGTAAATAAAGACACTCAATTTCAAGCTGGACATACTTATATTTATCACAGGTTGGGGTTTGACTAGTTTCAGTTTCATTGTTGAAAATGTTAGAGTCATCAGGAAACGGTTTTTCATCGCCTGCGAGAGGAGTAGGATCTTCCCGAAGACTTGCCACTAATCAATAAATTATTATTTCCAATGAGGTATTATTGACAATTTCAGTTAAACTAACCACTTATAGGAGTGCTGGCGAATTCAGAACCGCTAAGGCTATTAGTCATCATCTCAAGTTGATTGGTCAAATCAAGCATCTCGCTTATGCTATGATGTTGGGACATTTCTGACCAAAGTTCAATAAAAATGATCAAATAGTAACATTCATGTTTTATTTATTATAAGTAATGTGGCTTAAATATGAAATCATACCAGTTAAATCGTCTTCTTCATCGAAATCTCCTAAAGTTGCAATATCACTATTGTTGTTGGTACTCATAAGACTAGCCATGCTCTGCATATCCTCATCGCTAAAAAAGAAAAATATAAGTTATGGCAAAAACTTAGTTTAAAAAAATCTTTTATTGACAAGATTTATGAGATTATACCATCTATACACTTTTTTTATTAATGGAGGCTACCGACAATGTCATATCAGCCTCCAATGCACTTGTGAGGGCCAAAGGGGTATTCGATATTTTGCCATCAGCCATCTCACTCATTCCCACAATCACACAAAGAAAAATAAATAATATATATGTAAAATATTTACAGATTAAATATGGGGGCGTTAAGAATCAGAACAGGGGACTCAACAACCTACTCTTATGCACATGGACTATTTTTAAATTGAGTGTCATGCCTACTCGCTCCTTATAAGGAGCTCAACCAAGTGTGACACACTGAGTGACCTTTTCTACTAGCTGTGTATTTGGGGTGTGCCCCCAAAAGTACAAGTCCGTGTGACAGTCGGGTACGGCCTATCCTCAAAGGGGTGAGCACAATCCAATCGGTTCACTCTCAGGGTCTTTTATCGCATTATTTACTACTCGTACAGCATTAGTAGGCCGGATCGGTCTGGAGGGTAAGATGTCCCAGCTTTTGCCATATTCTGCACATTGATTGCCCACCATCCCGATGTGTCCGAGTACCCAAACGACAACCACTGTTTTTCCGAGGCACTCCAGCTCAGCATATCTCTAGCGAGCACAATGAGAGAATCTATCAGGGACAGCTGAAACCACACACATGGAGTAGGTTCAGACAAAATAGGCAGAGCCTCGGACCACTCTGAGCGCATGCCAGATTGCATACAAATTCACTATGGGCACACTGCAGTACTGCAGGAGCGGACTGGTGTGGACGAACCTCCATTCTACACTAGACCTATCCATAAAGACACTATAATTATCTAATATTTTTGTTTATTTTCTTTCTTATGTTGTTGAGGATATATCTGCTAACAGAAAACTGAGAAACTTTAATTAATAAATTAAATTTATGATTTAGCTTTAGCTAGAAAACATCGAGAAAAAAAATAAAATAAAATAAAAATCCTTCCAAAATTAAAGATCCAAAAATATCTGAAGGATAGCTTTTCAACAAAATTTACAAAGTATTTAGTTAAATATATAATGATGAACCAACTTCTTAGTAATACGTAAAAAAGGATGAATGAATAAAAAAGAATTGTTTTGTTTTATTAGTTCGGGTGATTGATTATAATATTTATTAATACACCTTTGTTTGTTTTAATACCGAAAATTTCCCAATTACAATTAAATGATAAATTTAATGCATTATGTATAGCTTATAACTGAAAGCTAACAACTAATCAATTTGTTGCTGTTAGATCATCCTTTCATTTTTATTCATTGACTATTCATGCCAATTAAAAGCAAAAGTAGGGGGATGTTGGTGACTGCATTAGTTTAGGCGTTGACATGGGGCTCATCACTCTAAGTCCCAGGTTCGAATTCAGCGGCCCTGCATTCGAACCCGACATATTTACAAATGACTTTTTTCAAAAATACCAGCACCCCGAGGGTTCATATAACATTTAAAAATAAAATAAATACATTTAAAAAATTTTCAATAGTAGTAAGCATGTTTTTGTAATACATAAATTGTAAATAAGAAAAAATAACTTACGTAGCTTTGCCCTCTCTGAGAAACACGCAAGAAAGAGTGCATTCGAGGGAGGCAGATATTATTTTCTTGCTTACAGTCTTCATTGTCAAGTTGAGGTGATGTTGAGACGAATCTATACTGGCGTATTTCTTCATGTTTATATTACAGGTTGCAATCTGCCTCCTTTTACCTGTATTGCTGACCTGCGTATAGTTTTGTATTAATTTTTATAAATTTGATGGCGTAAAATAAATCATCTTACATCCTCAACTATGAAAGTCCATTCCTTGTCTTCAAGATCGTGTGTTCTCGGGTCTTTGAAGAGGGTCACAGCTACTTCCCGGTTCTCTGGGACGACCCAGATGGCAGAGCCGACCATCGGGTCTTTCATTGTCGGTTCCCAGGCCTGTCCTTCTGACACCACCCTCCTCCCCCTCCTCGTCCAGACCACACTCAATTTTGTTGGTTTCCTTTATTTAAGAAGAAAAAACAACTTTAAAATACTATTACTATATTAATGGAAATTGAAAAAGAAAATGTATAAGAAAATTGGAAAAATTCAGGAGATCTGACGGACAAAGAAAATATTTTATACTGAAAGTGATAGAAATGAGAATATATACATACATTTAAAATATATACACATAACATATATAACATAAACATTTTTAAAAAGCATATACCTACTTAAAAAGAGAGATTTAAAAAAATTGCAATTTCTTTATTGCAAATTTGTTTGTGTTGAACATATCAATGGTAATTTGCTTATTACTAACAGTTAAAATTCTAGAAATGCCAGAGTGAAATAAATAATTATATTTTTGAGTTTGGACTGAGAAAGATAGGGGATTTCGAGTGTTGTGAAAGCTGACATTGACAATGATTAGTCTTAATAATTGGGAGCTATTAATTTTGCTATTGATTAGGCTAAAGGGGAGAAGTGAATCAGTTTATTCCCTTCTAAGGTATAAAGGTAACAAAGGTAAAGTTATTTTAAGAAATATCTGTGGAAAATTTTTAATTTAAACACAGCATATCTTAATTTTTTGGTTTATTTAATGTAGTTATTGTGATATTTTTTAAAAAATTTAATGAACATTAGTTTATTAGTTGTATAGTTTTTTTAAATAAACTATACTAATTACTATAGTAATTACTAAGTAAGTACTACTTTAGTAATTATGAATAATTAGAAATATGGCTACATTCAAAAATAATAAACCCAAATATTTTAAGTTTTGTGTCTTAATTAAAAGAACTGAGGAGAAATTTAATAGAACAAAAAAAATAGGCAAAAACAAACCAAATGCAATCGCCATGATTCAATTTGTTTTATGTTTAAATTGACTTTAGAAAATGTAAAAACGGTCACAATTTAAAGTTTATTGCACGTTTCCATGAGTCAAGGAATCAAACTAAATGTTAAATAATTTATACTGCAATAGATTTTGCTAATAATATTTTTAGTCTGGTATTACACTTATTATGTGGAATTTGGCAGTTTAGTAAATTGATTATTTGTGGACGGTAGATTGTATTATTTACGAGTATGTAAGTAAATATCAGGTCACTATTTTTCATCTTGTGTTTAGTCATTGCAGTTCTTTGGATTCCATAATAAATGGATGTATGTCCGAGTATGTTATGGTAATTCTAAACCAGTGATTGCAAATAAGTTGCTTTTTTTATTGAGTTAATATTTTCTGATGATATGAACAAACAACTGAACAAATATCCTAAAATGGGACCATAGCATTATGGCAATTTTAACATGACATGACGTAACATTTTAAAACCAAAACATTGCTTCTACATCCTTAAAATTTTTATTAGTTCTATGTACGATACCTAAAATTTCATTAGCCTTATTAACTATTGAAGTCTAATGAAAGTTAAATATCATGTTATTAGACCGTGCTTCCAAATTGTAGTTTGCCTGACCAACTGGAATTTTGAGTGGACAAAGAGCAACATTAATGTTTTAGAACAGATCAGCATATCGGGGGTGTAGATGTTTAAATTACATACAAATTTAATTTCTGGATTCGTGTTTTAATTTAATTAGTTGTTTATTATTCATCCAGCACGCGATGAAAATTAAGAGCAAGCTTTGACCGTCGACATTTGAAAGAGCGACCTATGGAAAGTTAAAGTATTAAGCCAATACATGCAAATGTTTTCTTGTGTTTTTAAACTAAAGTGTAAGATTGTTAAAATTGTCACAAGGCAAATCAAAAGATTGTAAATCAAAAATGTTCTGATCAGCCTTAAAGATCAATCTGTCAAAATGGGATCGTGAGCCGAACAGAAAAGAAATAATGACTATATAATGACTATCCATGAAAAAAGGGGGAAGAAGAAATTACGCGTAACACTAAAAAAATTGGCAAGGTTAAAAGGAAGTAGTGTTTGTACGTAATTCGGAAATATTCTGAGTAAACGTTACATTGGGATTTCTCTGTGATGAGAGGCGCCACTACAAAAGAAGTAAAAATAACTTGTTCTACCAAGGTCTAAAACCAACAACAAAAACTAAATCGCCAATTTAAAAATTTATTTGTTTTCAGAGGCACTCTTTGTACTAATTTATTTTTTAAGTATTCTGTGTTTAGAAATAGTAGGTTTTTTCACCGAGTCAATTCTTGCGACAATAAAACATTTTAGAACTTATCTGTTTGTTTATTATCCACCCATTAATAAGGTCTATTTCGGTTGAAATGTTGGTCTGTTTCCAATGCAATCTAACCGTCGGCAAGATTAAACAAATTCTGTTTTTGTTATCGTGGACCATGTCACGTTCTAAAGTTTTGAAAATTGACATTAGAACCTTCAACTTTAATATGGTACTGTTCCCAAAATTCAAAGCAATGTTCAATAGTCATCAAACTAGAGGCAAGAGTTTTGTCAAATCACTGAAACTTTGATTATGTTAGCTGTCATATTTGTGCCACATTCAAGCGAGAGAAATTCAATAAACCACTTGCTTTTAGAAAATCTTAGGACTGTGAGATGAAATGTCTATTCTGTCTATTAATAAAACATGTATGATCATTGAAAAAGCTAAATGAACCTTCATCGACGAACACGAGTTTTGGACAATTCATTATTAAGAGGTGTTTCGTGGTGACGAAACGGTGGAATCAACCGGAATCAATACTGTTCAAACTCTGTCTGCCGAAGTAAAAAGGCCTGCAATTATGAAAATAGAGATGGAATGTCGAACCAAGGTCTCATATTTCGTTGGTGACGCAGAAAAACTGTACTTCTACAGAGGTACGCCTATTACCATATCGCCTGAATGGGCGTCTTCAGATGTCAATTATTTCAGAGAAAAATATGATGTGTAAATGTTTCAAACGAAAGTCAAAAAGCTTTTTTGTCTGGAAGGAGGAGATTGCCTGGATTTAATCAATAAAAAAGGACAACATTGGTCAACAATTAATAAAAAAAATACAATATATTCCAATCAAGTCAGTATTGAGCTAAATTAATTGAAATTGTAAACTTGATATTACTTTAGGGAAAGAGAAAGAGCGAGCGAGAAGAGGGAGGGGGAGAGGAGAGAGAGAGAGAGAGAGAGAGAGAGAGAGAGAGAGAGAGAGAGAGAGAGAGAGAAGAAAAAGAAGTGAATAACCTTGTAAGAAGAAAGAGAAGGAAAGTGAGAGAAGCTGTGGTGAGAGTTGAGAGTTATATACTAACAAGAACAGGAAAGAGAGAAAAGAAAGAAGTGAAAAACCTAGTAAAAATAAAGAGAGGGCAAGTGAGAGAAGCTGTGATGAGAGTTGAGAGTTATATATTAACAAGAACAGGAAAGAAAGAAGTGAAAAACCTAGTAAAAATAAAGAGAAGGAAAGTGAGAGAAGCTATGGTGAGAGTTGAGAGTCTTATGCCAAAAAGGACAAGAGAGAAAAGAGAGAGAAAGAAGTGATCAACCTAGTAAAAATAAAGAGAGGGAAAGTGAGAGAAGCTGTAGTGAAGGTTGAGAGTTATATACTAACAAGAACAGGAAAGAGAGAAAAAGATAGAAGAGAAAAACCTAGTAAAAATAAAGAGAAGGAAAGTGAGAGAAGCTCTGGTGAGAGTTGAGAGTCTTATGCCAATAAGGACAGGAGAGAAAAGAGAAAGAAAGAAGTCATAAACCTAATAAAAATAAAGCGAGGGCAAGAGAGAGAAGCTATGGGGAGAGTTGAGACTCTTATGCCAGTAAGGATAGGAGAGAGAAAGAAATGATAAATCAATTACAAAGAAAGAGAAAGGTAAAATACAACAAGTAAAAATTATGTTATTTACAATGATATTCATGTACACAATAATGTATGCACATTTAATGTCTAGCGTGATTAATTTGAACAGCCACCATCCAACCAAAGGAACAGAAATTGGCCATTATGGAGTGAAGCCAACATCAGTCCCTAAGAGTTGCGTTAGTTACAAAATCGGATGGTCGCGAGGCTACCGGCCCTTCAGTCTTCTATGAGGGTTGGAAGGAAGGGTTGAGGCTTAACAGGCTGCGAATTAACGGGTTGTCGCGAGAGGATAGTCTGGAGTGAAATTTATTGTAACAGGACTGGGCCAGGTTTGAGGCAAGGGTATGTCGGAGTGGATTGGAGAGTAAAATGGAGCATCAACTGTTGTGCGAAGGAGTTGGATTGTAGGGATTGGATTTTGTTAGAATGGAACGCTTGGCTGTCCCGTTTAGTTCAAGTCCATAGGTCCAAATTGGGGCGATTAGCGTAGTGTATAATAGTTTTTTGTCAAGTAATGTCAATTTAGACCTTTCGTCAAATAGTCTCTTCAGCATTTTAAATAAGATCAACCAATCCGTTTCAGTAGCGCGCGCGCGTGTGTGTGGATTCGACGCAAGTAAATTTCCAAGTAAAGACAAAGATAACGAACACTACAGTAATACTAACAGTATAATAATAATAATAATATAGTAATAATTACTATATAATAGTAATTCACTGGTATTGGAATGCCATATAAATTAGAAAGCTGGGCGAGTTTTACGATTAGTACGAAGAGTGAAAACTATGTATTTAGATTTTTAATTGTTTACCTTGACTCTCCACTGTTAAAGCCAGGGCTCAAGCATATGAAGATGGGATTGTAGGTTGCGCATAGATGTAACCGGATCAATGTTTGGAAAGATTGCCTTGTCATCGGCGCATGTGAATGTTAAGGTGTCGCAATGTAATGGGAGATCAGTTGTAAAGAAGGAATAAAGTAAAGGAGCAAGTGTGTTTCCCTGGGAGACGCCGGCTAAAATGGGAAAAATAGAAAAGGAAGAGGTACCTTGGAAGTATCGGTTTGTTAGAAAGGATATGAGGATAAGGTAGTATAAAAATGGAAGGATGCCCTTTAGCTTCCACAAGAAGCCCACGAGCCATATACGATCAAAGGCCTGGAATACAAAACACCAGGGAAGTATTGTTTAAGTTCGAGGGAGGTGGTGATGGTGTCGACAACA